CACCGATCATCCCTCATTACTTCGGTCATCCCTCATTGCTTTGATCATCTATTACCACTCCAATCACTATCTACTTCTTCCCCAAATCTCTTCCCTAATAGAACTCAAATCTGGTTCCTCGCACAATAGATCTGATTCAAAAAATCAATTCATCTACAAATGTAAATTAGATCTGCAAAGAAAAATGGAAAAAACACAACATTCCTTCAATCAACATCAACAGTAACTATATCTGAAAATTCAAGCAATCAGAAGCCACACAAAACTCTAAATCCCATTCAAGCATGACTGCAAGCCAACAAAGAAACAGAACAAAAAAACCCAGGTGGGTTCGACTCAAACTTAGGCGCTGGGTTCGGAACCCAACGCCTGGATTCGAGGAACCCGCACCTGGGTTCCATCGAACCCAAGCGTGCTGGGTTCCTCGAACCCAGCACGCCTGGTGCCTCGACCCGCGCCTGGGTTCGAGGAACCCAGGCGTTGGTGCTTGGTTCCTTGAACCCAGTAGAGGAGGGGAAAGAGAATGAGAAAAAAAAAAAGGAAAGGAAAGAAAAAAAAGAAAAAAAAAAAGGAGAAAATTTTATTTATTAAGTTATATTTTTATGCCAAGTCACCATATTTTTATAATTAAAAATGTCACATCACTCATTTTATTTTCAGGTAATATTTAATATTAATAAAAATTGAATTTGTTAACGGGAAATTTTACCATGTCAGCACTTAACTGACGGAAGGACAAAATTGGTTCTAAAAATTAAAGTTTAAGGATATTTTTAGTACTTTTTGAAGTTCAAGGATAGTTTTAGTCCAAAAATAAAAGTTAAGGGACTGAATCGGGGATCTAACCATCGTCGAAAGCAGCCTTGCTGTTTCCTTATTTATTTATTATAAAATTATTTTTTAACACGGACAGCATTTTTTTACTATTTATTTTTAAAATTATTAATAAAATTATTTTTTGTAATTATTTATTATTAACATTTTAATAATTTTAATTCTCAACCTACGTTTAAAAAAAAATATCATCTGTACTAACATATACTTTTGCTCTTTTTTTTTTTTATATTACAAGTTGTATCAAACAATACCAATTTATAGTATAAATTTATTGAAATATTTTTAATGAAAATTTTTATATTATTTTATTAATAATATTTTAATAATTTCAATATCTAACACAATGTACTACAATTCATATTATAAAAGTATTTATATAACCTTACTACATAAGATTTACTAAGGAGAGAGTGATGAAAATTCTCTTATTTAATTAATAAAAAATTTAAAATGGAGAGAGACTTACTCAAACGAGTATAAGAAACTTAAGAGAAATAAAATGATTACATATGCTTTTATTTTCTTCCCCTTATCTACTTCTGTAAATAAAAAAAATAAACCTCTTTGTCTCAAATTTTTAATATTTTAAATTAAGATAATTAATTTAAGAGCTTTACATAGATTATTATTTTTAACCACTAAGAGTTACCTAAGTTAAAATCATAAACTAAAATAATTTAGAGTGATGTTATAGGGATAATATTTTTGTCTCACCTTTTTATACAACTTTTACATGAATTAAAAGAATTAATCATTTTAATGACACATCAAGTTATAACAAAAAAAAAAGATAAAATGGTTGTCCCAATAGTATTTCCAATAATTTAAGGTCTATGACTTGATTTGTTTCTCTTTAGAAAAAGAATCTACTCTGTTGGGTTGAATGCACACTATTTCCACATAAAAAGCAACACATGAAGACACGCATAAATTACAGACATTCTACCTTCCTCTAGCCATACAATGCTAGCAGGTATATACAGAAAGTTTCTGCTATTTTTCACTAATATACAAAAGTCACTTCCTAGCCATTTCTACCCTTCCATAATCTACACTACTACCTTCCAATGATCTAAAATGAAGTCTAATCTGACTACCGAGGGACATTAAAAGGAAAGAGATTGAGCAAGGTGCCTTGAAACTTGCATAATAATCACAAACCAAATAAATGGTCGTTTGCACCAAATATGGTAGCATTTGGTACAACATTGAACTGTCTTGTGTTCAAGTCACTCCCATCCAAAGCAGAGCCAAACCGGTCAAGCCACTGAGTAGGGCTCTGGTTTTCGCTCTCCTCTACCCACTCTGATGTCATGTCAATGTCGTCAAATTGAATGGGGTCAGATTCTGGAGATGTTGTGCTCATTTGTCTTGCCAACTTGAGGTTGTAATTGATATAGAGTAGGTCATTCCATGCTTCCTTATCAATCTTATTGCGCTTTTCTGAATGAACTTGCTGAAACATACTCCAATGCCTCTCGAATGTGAATGTGCTGCAAACTTGACTGAGTATCCTGATGGCAACCCGTTGCAATACAGGTGCAGAGTCACCAAATTGTTCCCACCAAAGTCCTGCAATGTATTTAAGTGTACAAAGTTCAACAGTTAGACATTGCAGACAGAGATTGACATGCTATAGTTTCTAACATGCGAAGGAAGAAATCATTGAAGAATGAAGGTTATCATTTAATTGGAAATAATAATGTGTGGCAATCATTTCAACTATGTCAATTCTCAAGGAAATGATGACAGGAAAAGGGCAAATAGCAAAAGGCTAGGGGCTTCTGCATGTCTAAGATGTGTACTGCAAGACAAGACAGCTACAAGATATCTCTTAAACAAGAACAAGGCTTCACTTATTCATGGAATTTATGAGAAGAGATAATACTGATAATAATGGCAGCTATATCATTACTAAATCATGCTTTCAGATAAGAATAGAACTTGAAATAATGAGCACTTCAACGTGAAAAGGAGTTGCAATGGATTGCAGATGAATGCAAATCATTTTATCCATCTATTGTGGCTTCAGGATGCAGTTTAACATGCAGCCCACACACACACACACACACAAACATGCATTCATTTCTCCCCCTCCCTGACCAAAACAAACACATTAAATTGGAAAATAACAAAAAATTTTTACGTACCAGGAGAAACAGTATCCCTTGCCTCTATAGCTAGATTACAAGAAAACATCCCTTTTGCCTTAAAAAAGGTATAAATTTGATTGGAGACGTCATGTCTTAAATCAGGTGTAGGAAGCAGTTTCTCCAGCACTTTGTAAAATTCTTCCTTCAAAGATCCAACGTACTTTATTTCTGAATTATACTGGATACTGGGATTTAAAAATGCCCCTGCTGAATGTAGAGTTGAATGAAGTTGACCCTGCCACTTCCGATCAACTATGTCTAAAAATGTCTTGCACTTGTTCTCATCCATTATGTAGTATGTCCTAATTGAATCCTTAGCCCTGGTCATTAGATCATATAATGAACCAACAGAAGGTTTTCCTCCAGACACTTCCCTCAACACTTTCAGAAAAGGCTCAGATATGGCTACACTCTCTTCCACTGCCCTCCAAAAATCATTATCCTGAACAATGGCAATGCAAGATATGCTCTGTGGCTTACTTACTGATGGGTTTGTTGCATACTCGGGGCTATTGAACATAAGCTTCAGTCTCGACCGTTGCTTCAATATTGACTGCAATGATAGGAAGCTGGATACAGACTTTGTAATACCACTTTTTATGAGTTCCTCTCCCCCAGTAAATTTCTTCATCAGATCAAGCATTGATGCATTGTTGTATAGAAACTTGGATATTGTTTGTGCTTGTAAGATACACCTGTTCACCCAATCCACCTTAGAAAATTCTTCCAAGATTAGATTCAAACATTGAGAACCACAATGAGACACAAAAATAGTTCCATAATTCTGCTGGATATGGTTGGAGATACCAGTATAGTTGAAACTACTATCCATGATAATTTGCACCACATTTTCTGGGCCAAAATCTTGAATAACAGAATCAAATAAGTCAGCAAGATATTTTGTGTTCTTAAAATATGAGGAGGCATCTACAGACTTGTGGAAGAAAGTTCTAGAGGGTGAGGAAACTAGAAAGTTAATCAAAGCTCGGGATTTATTATCAGTCCAGGTGTCTGCGATGATAGTACATCCTGTGGTTGCCCATTCTTTCTCAATATCTTTCAACTGTAGGCTCATCTCAGATTTGATTTTTTCCAACCATGTTGTCTTCAGAGTTTCAGCAGGTGGGCCAATAAACGCAGGACCACACTTTACCAATGCATCAATCATGGCCTGATAAGATGAAGAACGGGCTACGCTAAAGTCAAGCTTATTCTCAAAAAAGAACAGAGCAATACTCCTCTCGGCATTTTCTTGGTTGGTCAAGGAGGATGGGGTCATTGGTGAGATGGTAGGGAAAACTTTTGTGACTGAAGATACTGCCTCTAAAGGCATAAGAGATTTACTAGCAGATATATTGCCAGGAGTTTTTACTTCAGCTATCTTTTGCTTTTTAGCACTAGAAGTTTCTTTGATCTCCTCCTTTGATGCTATAATAGCTCTCACCCTATCACAAACATCATCTCTAACTTTAATACACGGATTTACTCCTTTACTAGGAAGACGAGATAGATGATGCTTCAACCTACTAATCCCACCATTCAGGACCCTGTGACAGAATTTGCACTTCACTTTGTTTCCATCTAATTTCTCAGCATATTCCCAACAGACATCTTTTTCTCGAACCACTGCCAAAAAATAAGAATTCAACTATTGTTTACTAGTTATTTCCTTCATTTTAACCATCCTGCATCAAACTAAGTAATAATTGGGCATTGAAGCCATTATTTCATTTCAGATAGAAACCACGAAATTCACTGAAAAGAAGCAACCAGAAAATCCACAGTAACAAATTCATACAAGATCATTGTTCTGCATAAAACAGAATCTTAATTAACAGCCAGAATAACATAAACTTGAACTTACTGGTGATGGAAGGAAACTTTTTCTTTACAGGTTCTTTACATTGACCTACAAGGCAAGCCAACAATGAAAGCGCCAATTATTAAATATGGTAAAGGCAAATATAGCAAGAGCATTGCCGGAGAGGGAGCGAAAGGATACTACTTATTTCAAATTCACAACCAGAAATCCCTAGGAATCACACTGAAGATGCATTTTAAGTTGATAGCTAGATTTTCAGCAAACAAAATAGTGGTGGAAGCCCCATAATTTTTAGGAAAATTTGAAAAGTTTCAGTCTTTTAGTTGCATCAAAACAAACCCCACATCACAATAGTCACTTGATTTCTGATTGTTGAAAAGTTTCATTCTTTTGGTTGCATCAAAACAAACCCTACATCACCAAAGTCACTTGATTTCTAACTGTTGAACTCCCCCACCTCTCAACCATGTGAAGAAAATTTGAAAAGTTTAAGTCTTGATTGTTTGCTCTTTCTACAGTAAGCAGGCATAAATTTATATAACTCAGCAGCATGTCTCTCTAGCCAGTGTCATACTGAAAAACTGAATCTCTTTAATATATATTAGAAGTCCAAGTTTCAATTGTCAATGCTCCATTGAACATAAAAAAAAAAAAATAATAGTTAGAGAAAATCTGTATATCAGAATTACAATAGACAAATGCTAAATTCGTCTTCCTGCATCAATGATATTTCACTAAAGACTAAGTGTCCGTGCAGTCAAATATTGTATATTTCCCAGAAAATCAAAATTTCCACGGAAACAAACAAACCGTTTATTGAATCCCTTAACCCCATTAAGAGTTTCAACAGTTTCTCTTGTTTACTTCCATTTTCTCGGGAAACAAACACAACATTTTACACAGCCCGATAAGAAAATCAAAAAAAATTCCACAGCAAGTCAGCAACAACGAAACTCAAATCGAACATTATAATCAAACGCGCTTTGAAATTTTGAGAGCAAAAGAATTTTTTAAAATGAAGAAGAGAAATGGAAAATGATAAAATGCAGAGAAATTAAGCAAGAGTGGAAAGATAAATGACGAGAGATTTTTGGGAACTTACAGTAAAAGATAAGAGAGAGAGAGAGATTGGTCTTCTTCTCGACAGAGAGATAAACGGAGGAAATTGCAGATTTGGGAATATGTTTTACTTATCGCGATATTTTGGAGTTAGGGTTTTCCTTTCTTTCTTCGTTTTTAGAATTTTTTTTTTTTTTTTTT